AATGGTTAATTTTTCTTTTGATTTGTTAAATAAGAATAAGATTTTCTTTTTTTTTTTAAGGTAATTGTTTTGGTCCTGATGGTATTGATGAAATTCGTCATGCACTTGAAAATAAAAATTTCGTTCATCAAATGGTATTCAGGTAAGTTAAACATAATTTACTAACAAACAAGATACTTCGACGAATACTTAAACTTTACTATAGAAAATTGAGCTTCAAAAATAACGTATCAATTCCAGTCATGTGTTCATTTGTATTACTATAAATTTAGAATATCTATTTGAGATGATCGCTACATAGTGCTATGTCTTGATCAAATCAAGTTTTCGAATGATAGGAGCTTAGAATATGTAGGTTATAAGTCTCATCGCCGAAACAAACATTATCGAAAAGAAAGATCGCTGAATTCATTTCGATCATCTACTAGCTTATTAGAATTAGTACTGAATCAAGTTAGTGACTAATTTAACGTGGTTCCTAACTTGATTTCTAACTTATTGTATTACTCACTTAAATTAGTTGTTAACAGGTCGATTCGATCATTGGCATAAAAATTGCCGATGGTTATATCGCCGAAAATACGGATAGTCGATAGTCACATTGCCGAAGAGCATAGTGACCTTGATATCAGTGTCGGTTGGGCTTATAAAGTATTTATTAAGTTTTAAGCAAGCAAATATTTTTTGACGTAAACGCATTGCAAAACTGTTTTGAGTAAATAAGAGCTGATGTAGCCGGCAGTGACAAATATTAGATATAACTTCTTGCAAATTGTTACAATGCATTTTAGATCAAAAATTTATTTCAAATAATAACTGATGTTCTGTATAAATAACAGTAACATTTTCTTAAAACAAAAATAATTTTTTTGATTAAGTTCTTTCATAAATAATTGTATTATGATTTTTACATTGCATAAAAGTGCGTCTTCTATGTGATGGTAAAAATTGCATCTCGATATTAGTTTACGTACGCGAGTAATTCAACGATAAAAGAGTTTTAGTGAAAATACGAAATCAACTGGATGAAATAGAATATTCCGAAATGCTAGGTTATATGAAAGAAGCTAAATGAGCCTCCTTCCAATTTCAATGATTTTTGCTTGAAGATACTACATAATGTTCTAATAAAATCCCATTCGAATTTTGATTTGAAACTATAGAGAACTCAACTAGAGTAGATTCCTTAAAAAAAACTCTCGTAGTCCACTCTTTCCAACAAAACCACCGGGGAGTTCGATATCTCAGGATCGGTATGCCTGAGTAATGTCGAAAAGTTCGACGACGGTCAGGGTAATATCTTAGTAGTGTTAATATTGTCTGGGAAAGGAAAAATGAGTGAAACTATGTTTCTAGTCATTTTTTATTTATTTATTTTTCTTTTATCCTTAGCAACAATAAACGATAAATCTTCTAAATACTCTTCTAAATTTATTTCATCATTTGCATAATGATCAGCAAGAGTATGAATGAGTGTTAAAAATAAGATACATCATAGTATTTATAAAACTAGATATCCTTGCGTATACCCTTGCCATTTCTTTTATCAATCAGTCTAATAATTAGCTTACCGTTTAATCTTTATAACTCTTCTTTTTTGTTCCAGAGGAAGCGATGATTAATTTATCTCTATTTATATTCTACCTTTTAAACTGTTCTTTTATATTTTATGGGAAAAATTTTTCTTGTACATGCTATTATTATAATAAACAGTTGCGCCTCATGCTCTTTGATTATTTGTCAAGTCGACAAATTTTCATTCGACCATTTGTACAATCTCAACTCTACTAAGATTTTACCCTTACCGTCTTCGAACTTTTCGACATTTTTAGTTTTCGACATTACTCAGTACACTCTCAGGATTCCCATAAAACTTCTCGGAAGTCCCAAAATTTTAGAGAGACCCTCTAAAATTTTCATAAATTCGAATTTTTCAGAAAATTCCAATGATGGCTTCTGGAGAGACCCCGATAACACTCATCAATTCCCTGGGAAGTTCGTGAATCTCCTCTTAACTTCCCCAGGAACTCACGACAGGGATTCTTCTAGGGAGTCTCGACTAGGGTCGCAAGTTCTGAATAAAGTCTCATCAAGATAGAAAACTTTCAAGATATAGACCCTTTTCCATGGATAGTCTATAAAACATACATTTCTGTGAAAATTTCATATCTCGAAGAGATTTTATTTAAAACTTATGAATTTTTGTGTGGAAGCTAGTCTAGTTGAATTCTGTATATGCACGGAATTCAAATCCTTTTAGAGTTTTTATTAGAACAATATGTAGTATATATAACCAAAAAAAAAAACAAATCATTGATATCGAAAAGAGACATCGGATGAAAGACTCTCTCGTCAACTATCTGATAACAAAGCTTAGCGAATATTACATACTATTCTATTTAGAGAAACATTTTAGAATTTATAAATCTTTTTTTTTTTCGGTAAACGTCAAATAAGGTAAAAGTATCCGCAGAATTATCTAGAGAAATCATTATCCATGATTAGTACATACAAAAAACAAAATCAGATTTCAACGACGTGAGTTTGTCTTCAGATTCTAATAGAATTTCATCCCGAACTATTTTCCTTATCGAGATGTTGAAAAATCACTTTATTTATATTTGTTTTAATAGTGATGATGAAGGTAGTGATGAAGAAGAAGAAGAAGAAGAAAATGAAGGTGAAGATGAATATGATGAAGAAGATAATGATGAAGATTATGAAGATCAAGAAGAAGAAGAAGAAGAAGAGGATGTTGAATCGCCATCCTTCTTTTTTGGTAAAACTTCTACTCAACCAACATGGAATCCTTTTCAATTCGGTACTACGAAACCTAATTCAACTCAACCAGAATCTGTTAGTGGTCTTTCAAGTATGATGGCTAGTTTTAATGTTTGTTCACCGTTTAGTTTTGGTTTACAATCAACTATTGAAGTAATTTTTTTTTTTTCTAAGACAAAATCTTCTATTTTTTTTATAGACAAAAGAAAATAAATGGACAACATTTACTAATTTTGATAAAGTTAAAGAACATTTAAAAGTTTGTATATAATCTTAAATTATAACAGCATTTCTAATATATATATATTTTTTCTTTGTTTTTGAAGAATGATGAACAATCTACTGAACGTGCTGTAAAATTACTTGAAGATATATGGAGTGATAATTCCATATCACAAAATGAAAGTTCATCAATTGCTTGTAAGAATTTTCTATCTATTATTGAAGACATATATTTCTTTCTTTTTTATTTTCCTAGCAAATACTTTAAAAGCATTAACATTTACAGAAGATAGTGAACGTAATTTTAATGAACGTTTACTTGTATCATTAGGTTTTGTTAAAGTAAGAATAAATACTGTGAACACGAAAATTACTCAACAAGTTTTATTTTCGACTGCTTTAAGTATTAGAAAAAATCTAAATAGTAATTTGAGTTGAGGAAATTCTTTCCTACAGGAATAATACAAAACTGAAATCCTAAGTTTTTAACACATAGAAGGTGTAATCATAATTTTCTTTAGACTAAAACAGAATCATAGAGCAAACGATTCTTTACAAAATGAGATGATACAAAGATTTCTACGATATTTTTTAACGAAGATACAGCAATCTTACGTATGTTCCTGAAGTTGTTTTTATTTTTTGTATGGGAATAAAACCATTTTTCGAACTTCGATGAAATAACTGTATCTTAGGAACATCAGAGAATCGTTTTCTTTATCATTCTATGTAGTCTAAACAATATTATACTTACACGTTATAGGCAAGGCTCTCGATGTGGGAGGGTGGCCTCCGCACAAATTAAAAATCTGTTTTACTGTCTGGCAAATATTTAAATAGACACTGTTCGGGGGATCTTCGCAAGCTACCTACCCCCACCTTGGCCCCGGTTTTGGTTTTGTGTATGGAACTTTTCCCGAGATTTAGCTCATTCCTGAAGAGGGATAAGAGATCTCTCCAAAGCTACCGCCCTCCCTCTCAGTCACCAGTTTTTATGAAAAACTAGGAAATTTTCGGTGACAGACTGTCAGCGAAAGTTTATGAAAAGTGTATGCTCCCCCTCCCCCCTCCCTACTCAAAAACAATTGAGAGCCTTGGTTATAGATACTAAAAAATAAAGATGTGTAGAATAAGCTCTTTTTTCGTACCCTCTATCCTGACTAATGTCGTTGCCAGAATTAAAAGAGTAGTGGGTGTAATCTTACAATTATTGAAGACATCTTGCATGAACTCTAATGTTATCCCTCTTGGAGGTTCGTTCATTTTTTTGAAATTTACTAATATTTCGTCTATTCTACACGTTTATATGTTGGATAATTCTGTTGTTTACGAAAAAAAAATGATTCATTTTCCTTGACCTCAGTCTCACTGGAACCAATCGAGAGTGCATCTTACCCATATCTAATCTTGACTGAGAAAAATTTTCTAACTCCTACCCTCTCTCTTTGAGAATTTATATTCCTGTCGCAAAAGAATTTTCTATACTCGAATCACTATTTAGATCCTGTTTTACGTTTAATGCAGCCAAAAAAAAAATTGAAATTTCGATGTTCACTCTATATCTCGATATTTTTTCTTTTGAAAATCATCTAAATATTCTTTTCTATAAGGATGAACAAACCGGACGACAACGTCGTACAATAAATCAACGTGATAAAATATTTAAAACACTTGTTGATATTAATCAATTCTTACCAAAATCAACAAAAAATCTTCTTTCTGTTTTTCTTCAAAATACACCGTAAGATTTTTTTTTTAGTTTTATAAATTTTAACAAAATAAATGATCTTTTTTTTTTTTAGGAACGAAAAACTTCAATGTTTACCCGAAATTAAACAACAATTATTATCAACATTAAAAGGATAATAAATATTGTTTTTGTTTTTTTTTTTTGTCTTGTATCTATTTTTGTCATGAATCTTAAGCACGAAATAGATGATCAACAATGAAATTCTCTTGTTTTCTTTTTTTTTTTTATTGTATATTTCAAGATAAGAATGTTAAGACGATTTCTTACAAATCAATTAATTATTTCTACACGTTTTGTATCACAATATTATTCAAAAAAGAAAATTCTTGTACCGAGTCGACTCGGGTATGAATAAAAGAATAAATAACAATTTCAAGTTTTATTTTCCTTAGTGTTACACCAGGTAATCAACATTTGGAAGTGAATTTATTTGATGATGAAAATAAACAATTACTTGGTCGTATGTCATTAATTGAAGCACAAAAATTGGCTAAATATCGTGATTTAATACTTGTACTTTTTGATGAATCACGTGATCCACCTGATGTACGATTAATGACAGGAAAAAATTTAGCACAAATACGTGATGAAACACGTGTAAATAAAAAACGAGAATTATCAAATGATAAAATAACAGATTTTATTTTACGTCTTCGTCCAAATATTGCTGAAAAAGATTTATTAACAAAATTAGCACAAGCTAAAAATGCTTATTCAAAAGGATGTAGTATTCGATTTTCATTAGATTTTGGACGTGCTATTGATGAAAAAGAAACAGAAAAATTGGTAAGTAATTTAAAATTAATCCTTTATCCTCGGTTCGATCGTTTTCGATTCATTCATAGAACTTTTGAAGAAAACAAAAAGAAACTTGATAATCGAAAGTTTTCAAAATAATTTGTTCTGTCTTCGAGATCTACGACTAACAAAATTGCTAATTCTGTAAAATTGAATAAAGTTAAATTTTTAATCACAGTCAATAAAAGTTTTTGAAGAGGCATTGTGTATTTTATATTGACCTATATGTCTAGCATTCAATTGAATGCTTTTGACAAAATTTCATAACTGCTAGGGAGACAAATAATAGTAGGACAAAGATGGATTTTGAAAGAACTTGGGAACTGAAAGAGTACAATGACATACATCGCACTACACACACAGTTGAAAAAAATATGCAGTATCGATTAACTGTGTTCACTAATCAGAGAATTACTTAAATAAAACTAACTATTTATAAAAAAATTTACGTCAAAAATACATGTAGGATTTGAAAGTAGTTTTTTTTATATAAGATACATTTCGTCTTTGAAGTTATTTAAATAATAAGGAATCGATGACATCTTTATCTAACTAGCACTGTCATAGAAAAGGAAGGAGATGAAGATTTTGAAATCATTCTGTTATCCTCTCTGTTTTCTAGGTTACTGTGGACATCAAAGTACCCGATATATACAGTGGTGGCCAAAATTGAGCGTCCACCTTTTGTTTTTCATTTTTCTCTTCGACTATAATAGCTAGAACAAATCTGAAAAAAAGTTTTGAATAGCTGAAAGAAACTACAATTAGATGAGGTGCATATGAAAATTCCATTAAAACTCCCGGAAGCTATGTCTCTGGAAAACCAAAATTTTGAAAACCCCCAAAAAAATCAAATCCCGAAGTTCTAATGGAAACTTTTTGTAAATAGCCTATTTGTGTAGAGGAAGTTTTTCTGAGTAAAACCAGACGTCGCTCACCTTTCTACGACATTTTTTCATCGAACTGCATTCATTTTACAAAAGACCCTTTCACGTCAAAATCAGTAAAAATTACTAGACAAGCAGCAAAAATGATAGTAAAAACGACCGAAAAGTCTTTCATAAAATGAATGCAGTTCGATGAAAAAATGTCGTAGAAAGGTGAGTGACGTCTGGTTTTGCTCAGAAAAACTTCTTCTACACAAATAGGCTATTTACAAAAAGTTTCCATTAGAACCTCGGGATTTGATTTTTTTGGGGGTTTTCAAAATTTTGATTTTCCAGAGACATAGTTTCCGGGAGTTTTAATGGAATTTTCATATGCAGCTCATCTGATTGTAGTCTCTTTCAGCTATTCAAAACTTTTTTCAGATTTGTTCTAGCTATTATAGTCGAAGCGAAAAATGAAAAACAAAAGGTGGACGCTCAATTTTGGCCGCCACTGTATATATAGGTTTGTGCCTCTGATCGATCTGAGCGTACCATTGGTATATCTACCAGGACTATACTCTATTTCTATAGTGATTTTATCAGTAGTACTGCTGGAACAGTTTTAGAGGGTAAAGGGTTAATAAAAATAGAATTTTATGATAAATTAAACTATCATCAAATGAAGTCAATAAATTTTACAATAATAAACAAACACAACTATATATATCGGTGTTTTTTCCTCTTTCTTTCTAATACTGGTGCGGAAAAAACAAGACGATTAACTGGACAAGATATTGACAACTATTCGTCATCTTCTTTTTTTCGTACTAGTATTAGAAAGAGAAAAGAAAAAAAACCTATATATATATCTATGTTTGTTATTGTTGTAAAATTTGCATTGAAGAAAGTAAACCGATGACTATCGACACGTCTTGAATAAATAAGTTGTTGGAAAATTATACAGGAAGAGTATGAAATCTATTTCAAAACTTTTGAAGAAATATTTAAAGATTAGTTCTAGTATTGTTTTTTAAATTATCATCTATCATCAAAAATTTATTGGTATTGTAATCGATTAAAATACATACATCATGGAGATAGAGTTTGACAATCGATTAATAGCTTCTTAAAGTATGTGTAATATTGAATTGCTATCGTGAAATCTTGTTTTGTGTAATTGATATTTCAGTTTTAGCAGAAGAAAGAAGTCATATGAGTTTAGATCTATGGAATATGTTCAATCCCTCACGAATAAAAATAAGTTCTTTGTTTTCCCTTCTTGTATTATTATATATACATTTGTATACACATATGATATTTTATTTCAAAATGATCCATTTTCAATTTTAGAGTGAAGGTATGTCTAAACATTTTTTTTTTTGAAAATCGATTGTTTTCTGTAGCTGATAAACTTCACAAATGGTAAGCTACACTATTACTCATAGTCGATGATGATGCAACTCTGAATCACGATAGAAATGCCACTCAAACTTCTTGCTCGATTTCTCAAGCTACTCATACGCATTGTATACGACATTATTGTATATCATAATAACAAAGATAGCCGAGTTCGATTAATCAGATGAAAAAAAGCTTTGAGTAAGATTACCATCCCAATTCAGAGGTGTATCATTAGTAACACACTGAGTAACCATTTGTAAAGCTTATCGATTACAAAAAACAGTCGATTTTCAAAAAAGACATGTTTAGACATACTTTCACTTTAGAATTGAAAATGGTTAAATAGGATATTTTTCTTTTTTGTATTGCTGTTTGTATTCTCTCAATATTACCAAAATGGGTTATTTTGCAATAAATACAAAATAATACGTAAATAAAATACTTAGGATATACGAAAAGTTTAAACGATCTTTTCGGATAAGGGAACCTTTAGAGAAATGAAAAATTAAATATATCATGTTGTAGAACTTTTCGAGGCATGTTGAATAATATATAGTAAATCTTGTTTTCATAGAACTTCGAAGGATCTCGAGTCAATTTACTGATAGACCACTACACATCCACACTGACAAGATGATCGGAGATGCTACACAGAGGATGGTGTAGCTCGTCAAAAACTCTACAAAATCGTATGTGAGAAAAGATATTTTCGACTAATATCAAGGATCACAATATTCAGAAACTTATCATGCTTTGAATGTCGATGTATAGTCATCTATCAGTAAATTGACCCTAGTTCTTTTAAAATCTTACGAAAACAAGATTTACTATATATCATTCAAAGCGCCTCAAAAAGCTCTACAACATCGAATATTTGGTTTTTCATTTCTCAATAGGTTCCCTTATCCGAAAAGATCCTTTAAACCCCGTGTCCAGAACTTTTGTTATACCCTAAATATAATATGTGTATGTAATTATATAAGAAGAAGAAGAAGAAAAAAAGGCATTTATTTTGCATCCATAAGAGGATCGACAACTTCTTCAGAGTTCAAAATGTCCATGGTTTCGTGTTTTGATAGCAGAAACTGAGGTCTTGAACACCGATCTTTTATTTTTCTGACTGACAAAAAATTTTCTTGCCATTACCCTATCCCGTAGAAAATTTGACATCAACGGACTATCATTTTATGTTCGATTCCAATTTTTAAAAACTTCTATGTGACATTTCACGATGAGAAAAATTGATTCTAGACTGTACTATTCAATTTTTTTAATATAATCTAATTATATTTTTAGACTGAACGTGCTGATGAACAAAAAGAATTTCTTGCACGACTTAAACCATATCTTGAAGAATTTCCTAAAGTACATACAAATTCAAAAAGTACACGTTCAATTATTCTAATTATTCCATCGAAATTTCTAATAGAAAAATCAACTAAAAAACAAGAAGAAAAAAATGAAGAATCCGAATCAATTGATGATAAATCTTCAATAAGTTCACAACATAATCATAAAAAATCTATTTGACATTTGATTTATATGAAATATCATAGTTTTTCTTTCTTTCTTTCTTTCTTTCTTAGATAAAATGTCAATCTTTCTATTTTCTAGATGATAATTTTAAAACGTTTTTATTTTCGACCAATATTCTATCATTATCGTACAAATACAACAACAACAACAACAACAAAAACAAAATTAAATACATTTAATATTGAATATGATCCAATAAAACAATCTATAATTTATCCACAAGAATTAAATCTTAATAATAAAAATTATTCAACTGATTCATGGACAAATGTTAATGAAAATATACTTTCACGTATTGGTTTAAATTTACATCAACAAAAAAATCATCCATTATATCATTTAACAAATCGTCTTAGAAAATATTTTTATCAATTTTATGATCAAAAAAAATCATCACCAAAATTTTCTATTATTGATAATCTTTCACCAATTGTAACAACAGAACAAAATTTTGATTCAATATGTATACCTATTAATCATGTAAGTAGAACAAAATCAATGAATTATTATATTAATCAAAATACATTACTTCGTGCACATACATCTGCACATCAAGTTGATTTAATACGTTCAGGTCTTAATGCATTTTTATGTATTGGAGATGTTTATCGACGTGATGATATTGATCCAACACATTATCCTGTTTTTCATCAATGTGAAGGTGTACAATTATTTACTAAAGAAGAATTATTTATTGGAAATAAAAATGTTCTTGGTGATAAAGATAATTTAGAAATTTTTGGACCAAATGGTAAGAAAGAAAAAAAAAACTCATACAATTTTTTTCGATAGAATAGTTAAACTATGAACGCTTTCACTTAAAATAATGATTTTCTAACAAATCAAGTTCTTTTTCTTCGAAATAGATGTATCTTGTAAGTTCAGACGTATAGGATTACTCTACTAGGCTTCTCGATCAAGGTAGATGGGGAAGTCTCTGCCAATTTTTTACTGCTTGGTGATAACTTTAGACAAAAACCGAATTATGAAACACTATTTGTCTTTCTCTGGTAGAAATTGAAATAAAAATAAGCAGACAACAGAGGTCCAACCATGCCACGTTTTGGAGGCCTGGCAAAAGCATGTCAATTTTTTCAAGCAAATAAAATGATGATGACAGACTGGAAACCAGAGGTCCAAAGAGAACACTAGGACTACTATCCTACCCGGGCCTGACCTGCTTGTCATAGGCACGAGCCACGATTTTCAGATCAGTGTCAATCACAAGTCCAAGAAGGTTGGTAGCCTGTCGGCCTGGCTATGCCTGTCACTTACACTGGTCTAAAAATCGTGGCTCATGCCTATGACAAGCAGGTGAGACCCGGGTAGGATAGTAGCCCTAGTGCTCGCTGTGTGTCTCTAGTTTCTAGTCTGTCATCATTATTTTATTCACTTGAAAAAGTTGACAGGCTTTTGCTAGGCCGTCCAGGCCTCCAAAACATGGCCTGGTTGTACCTCTGGCAGACAATATTGTTGCAAGGTGTATAGGATTGAAACAGTTCCCGAAGAGAAGGAATAGCCTAGTGGCAGATCGTCTCTACTCGGAGGAGCCGGATCATTGTGGGTTTCGTTCTCCCTGATCAGCGCTCTGAGGATGAAAGCACTTTCTGCCAAATTTTTAGCCTCTCACACCGCTAAAAAAATATATCGACAACCCTGTACTCAAGAAAATTTTTCTCTTGAGGAAAGTTCTCCAACTGACAAATAGTCGTTGGGTCGAGACTCTGTGAATTATGTAGACTCAAATGAGTTATGAATATCCTGAAAAGAATTCATGTTCTTAACTTATTTTGTTCGGGAGATACTACAGTTTTATGGTATTTTCTTAAATGAATGTCGTGATCCCTTTCAGGTACATCGGGAAAATCAGTTTTACTAATGCTCGTGGCCAGAACCATGGCATCGTAAAAATACAGTATCTCCGCAGCAATAAGCTAAGCATACGAACTCTTTTCAGAGTATTCATAACTTATTTGAATCTACATAATCCACATAGTTTCAATTCAAAAGCGATTTATCAGTTGGAGGATTTCCTTCGTCGATCAGTGTGTACAGAATATGAGAAAATCTTATTCTACATATTATCAACCTTTATTAAATTTTGATCGATATGTTGATGTCAATGTTGAATACATTCATTGAAACAGATATAATAATATTAGTTCTATTTTTGATTAAATTAGAACAACGTGATGCTACTAAACAAGAAGGACATACATTAGAAGCAGTAAAATTAGTTGAAGCATCTCTTAAAAAAACAATAACTGATCTATTTAAAACTTTACTACCAAATACATCAATATTAAATTCACGTTGGGTTGATACTACATTTCCTTTTACTCATCCATCATGGGAATATGAAATTGAAATAGATGGTAAATGGTATGAATTACTTGGTTGTGGTATTATGGAACATCGTGTATTAGAAAATAGTGGTTTAAATAAAGATCATATTGGTTGGGCATTTGGCCTTGGTTTAGAACGTATTGCAATGATAATGTATGGTATTCCAGATATACGTTTATTTTGGACAAATGATTCTGGTTTTCTATCACAATTTGTATTTGATGATTCAACACATTCTATACAATATAAACCAATTAGTATATATCCTCAATGTATTAATGATTTATCTATGTGGATGGGTAAAACAAAAATTGATCCATCAGATTTTTATGATTTAGTACGAGCTATTGGTGGTGATTTAATTGAACAAGTTATACTTATTGATGAATTTTATAATCCTAAAAATCAACGATATTCACAAACTTATCGTATTATTTATCGTTCTATGGATCGAACATTAACAAAAAATGAAATAAATATGATACATAAAGATATTGAATATCATTGTAAACAACAATTTGGTGTTGAAATTCGTTAATATATATGTAGAAAAATCTCTGTTTGAGAAATTGTTTTCAAAATATAGTACAGTTTAACTTCGTTAATATTTATTGTTTTATTTGTGTTAGAATTATTGAATCTACAGTACTGACTAAAATTATACAATCATTTATTCGAATAGATCTACTTGATAAATTTCGAGTATTTTAATTTTCTCACGTATAGATTAAATTATTTGAAGATATGTATTGAGATGTTCTCTATCTAAATGTGAAATCAGATTTACTTGATAGAATTGTCAGATCCTGAGAAATAGATGATTGTCAAGATCAATCAATTTTTATTTGGTCAAAATTATAGAATCGATATTGTATTTTTCTTATGTTTCTTCCGAATAGGACATCAGTCTAGTTCGAAAGTGATATTATACGTATAGGATCTGATTCTAAACACTTTCATGAAGTGTGTTTTTAAAACTAATCTATGCTTGATTTTATAATTGAGCTTTAGTGTGCCCAAGCAAAAATTCCATCCAAGCTTTGTCCTTCAGCTAGTATTCTTGGAATCGAAGTGGGACTGTTTTTTGAAGAGTAGATTAGAATAGAAACGACGCTTTTTCCTCAAGATAGATTGTCGGAGAGCTCCACGTTTCATTTTCATAGAAAGGTAACTATGGTATCATAATATATATTACTCAAATCAGTTCGCAGCGTGTACATAGCATTTTCATTCCTTCGTGAACGTTATGTACATGAGGCTTGCAAGAGAGGTTAAGACTTGGATACTAATACGTACATTCCTAGTGAATACTATTGCAAACCTTGTCATTCGCGACAAAGCCTCTCGAACGTAATACTCGCGAAGAGATAAATATGCTTCATAAGCGCTAGAGACTGGTTTGAATAGTATATATCGTGATACCGTATCTATCTTTCTAACGAAATGAGACCCAGAACTTTCCGATAATTCATTTTCAAGCAAAACATCATTTCTATTCGAATGCGCTCTTCAAAAAGCAGCCCTGCTTCGATTCTCATGATACTAGCTGAAGAATAAAGCTTGGATGGAATTTTCGCTTGAGTACTGAAGCCCATTTATGAAATCAAGCATAGATCAGTTTTAAAAGCGTGACTCACGAAAATGTTTAGAACTAGGTCCTATGCATATCAATATCACTTTCGAATCAGACTGATGTCGCATTCAGAAAAAAACATGAAAAAAATACGATGCCGATTCTATAATTTTGGTCAAATAAAAATCGACAAATCTTGATAATCATCTGTTTTCTATAGTCTGACAGCTCTATCAAATAAATCTGATTCCACATTCAGACAGAGGACATCCTAATGCAGAATGCTATGTTGTTCGTCGAACAACACTTTAGTCGACGGACTTTTCGTCGGAAGAACATTTCTTCGAAAGTGAATTATTTTCTTCGTATTATTTATCTCACCGTCAGAAGACAAGTTTAAAAGTATCTCGTAATTAACTTTCTTCCTTTGGCGATAATGGAAGAATTTCAGGGCACTATTGAATAGAATTACATACTTTTCGTCGAAAAATACTTCAAGGAAAGGTTCATAGCTCCTCGAGACAATTCCGGATCCTTCGATTCTTCTACAGAACTATTCAGAGTTAAGAGGACAATCAATTTTCTCTAACACTCACGTTTGTAATGCCCTTGCCCTTACCATTACACTCACTTCACCTTTACATTTGGAGCCCTCTCCATAGCAAAGAAAATATTTTCGACGAAAAGCAAATATCTATCTGAGTTTATTGATAAAGTGCTTTATCGGCGAAGTATCGTGTTGACGAAATGTTCTGTTGACAAAATGTTTTTCGACGAAGGGTTCTGTCGACGGAAATCTTTCGACCAACAATATAATTACCCTAATGCACATATTCAAATCATTTTTTCTGTACGTAAAAGAATTAAAATAGTCGAAATTTATCGAACAGATCTATTCGAACAAGTAATTCTATAATTTTAGCCAATACTGTATAAAATGACGAAATAATTTACTTTTGTTTTATTTTTATTTGAGATGAAATCTTTGTCCTCACTATTACTTCAGATTATATCACCTTTATTCTATTTACGTTGTTATTCAACTATAGAAATGGTTTCAAATAATGTTAAAATTGAAAATTTTTTCGTACGTGATGATGGACAATTTTTACCTAACAATAATAATTTACCAGTTATAGTCTATCGACAAGTATTCGATAGTAAATCAGTTTCAGCATCAAACTGGGAACAATTATTTAAACAAAATAATTTTGGTAAATCATGGCGTGATGGAATATTTTCTTTTCATCATTATCATTCAACTGCTCATGAAGCTCTTGGTTGTTATGGTGGTCGTGCACAAGTACGATTAGGTGGTGATAATGAACAAGTACTCAAAGATGTTGAATTAACTGCTGGTGATTGTATTTTAATTCCAGCTGGTGTTGCTCATAAAAATATAGGACAAGATGGAGATTTTGGTGTTGTCGGAGCTTATGATATAGATGGAAAAAATTATGATATGAATTATGGTAAAAATGATGAAGAAAGACGTAAAGCTGAAGAAAATATAAAACAGGTAAATATACGGATATTATAAAAAAAAAACATTTGATCTAAATAGAATAATGGAACAGATGTTTTTATAACAATATGTTTTGTATAAATAGTAGTGAGAAAAATAGAAATAAAATTTTGGACGGGAAGATTGTACCCTCATCCCGAATTGAAAACAGGTCTTTTCTTTCAATGTTTCAATTCTAAAAGCAATTTGTAGGCTTCCAGAAGAGAAGGGAAAAAAAGAAGCTCCACCATTACTCCCTGCCTTCACTATTAATGCATTATTTTATTTGTACAAGATGTATTGAATTACCAAACGAAAGAAATTGTTGATGTAAAAAATAATTTGTATGGTTTTTCTTTATTGCTTCTACAAGGTTTAAATGTTGTTTTTCCTTCAGTAAATAGTTTGATGACATTAAAGGCATATTTTTTGTTTTTTTACTTCACTGCGTAAATAATTGCAATAAAAAATTTGTATGGTTAATAGGTAAGAGTACCTCGAATGGATCCTGTTGTTGGTGAAAACGGTGGCTTGATTCAATATTGGAAGAATGCTCGTCATCAAGACACATAATGTGCGAATAAGAATCTATTGTCATTTTAAAGTGTATTGTAGGTGAGGCAGTATCAAACTTAATACCGTTTTTTTTTTCTTTCGTTCTTTCGCTTGTTGTTGCTGTTCGTTAACCAAGCTGTGTTTGCTATTTTTTTTTTGCGGGATAGAAAAAAAATATTTATGCGTCTATTTTACTCGGTTATAAATAAAGAGAAAAAGAAAAAAATTGAAAGTATAGAGAACAACCATTCTCTTTGACACGATCATGGATGAAACACAATGGGAAAGGTTTGATTTGTTTCATGAGTTAATTGGATTTAATTAGAATTTTTTTTTTTTTTTTTGACTTTAGATTGATGAATACTTATTCATCAGATGTAAGTCAATTGCAAGAATTAAATATTATAAATCAACTTAAACATCGAGTAACATTTATTAAATTTAAATCTAGTGGTCATTCATATTCACGTATTTATTATCTTAATTTATCTGAAGATGCTATTCATTATCTAGGATCAAAACATAAATCGAAAATTGAAGCATGTATGAAATATTATCATATTTTTCTTTTTTTGAACTACACTTGAAAATAAATATATTTCTATTTGTGTTGTTTTTTTATTTTATTTTTATAGGTAAAATAAAAGATATCGATCAAGTTCGTCAAGGTTTTACAACTATTGTTTGGAAAAAATGTTTAAATAAAAGAAAAATTACACATGATAAAGAAAATTTAGCCTTTTCAATTCTTTATGATAATAATCGACACTCTCTTGATTTACTTGCTGATACAGAAAATATACGTTCACAATGGATTCAAGGTTTAGAATATTTAATAAAACGTTATAATTCTCATATACGTACACATCATGAAATAACAAATCAATGGATATGGTATTTATTTTCTCAAGCTGATCATGATAAATCAGGACATTTAAATCGTAGTGAAGCTCGTCGACTTTTATTTTCACTTAATATTGAATTAGATCAACGAGATTTTGATGTATATTTTAATCAAGCAAATATTCGTAGAAATAATTATGATGAATTAAGAAATTTAGATAAAGATGAATTTTTAATATTTTATAAATATGTATCAAATCGACCGGAATTACTTAAAATAATTTGCCAGTAAGTTTAATATAGAATAAAAGAAAAACAAGTAAAATATCTACTTGTTCTTATTTAAATTATTATTTATAGTAGAATTAATCATAACAATTAATTAAAGGAATCAAAATCAATCATTTGTTCTTTTTTTTTTCTTACTTTAGATACAATGGTAGTACATTAGAAGAAACAACAAAAATCCTTTCTGATTATAATACTATTCGAGAAATAATTCATATAAATCCACTTGAACGTCCTCGTGATTCGTCATCGTTAAGTTTTCGAAAATCGAAAAGTAAAAATTCTTCATTTAGTTTTCGACGAAACAGATCAGCATCAATTATATCACAACATTCGATTTCATCATCTGATAATAATCATAATAGAAAAAATTATTTAACTATTGAACAATTAAAAGATTTTTTACAAAAAGAACAACATATGGAAACATTATCAATTGAAGATTGTTCAAAATTAATTGCTCGATTTGAACCATCTTCCGAAGGACAACAATATGAAGAAATGGGTGTTGATGGTCTTCGTTTACTTTTACTTCATGATGAATTTTGTATTATGAATCCAAATAAATCTCATCGAGTTTATCATGATATGACACGACCATTGACTGATTATTTTATTGCTACATCACATAATACGTAAGTATTTACAAACACATGAGTTCATATCGTTTATTATACAATCTAGAGGGAGTGCTGAAATTATATAGGGTAGAAGATTGTAAACCTTCAGCCATATTATGATAGAGATTGTCGACATACGATCAAAGATTGTATATCAATAATGTCTCCTTATAGTAAATGGACTACTTCCTAGATGTGCATCGCGCTGCCTAGAAAATGAAGAGGCGACCACTGCCTAAAGTCATCCCGACCATTGGCATGACCGCATCTGAGTAATAAAAACAAATGATATCTCGAAAAAATTAACTTTTTAGCGTTTGATGGACAGTCTTTTTCTTTAAAAATTTTCTAGCAACAAAGTTCAATATCTACTATGATTAAGATGCGACCATCCAACGGACGAATAAGAAGAGAGGCGACTAGTCAGTCTCTGTGCTTCAAAGGACGTGGGACGATAAAGACATTTTTCTCACCAAAAAAATTTTGGAAAAAAACTACATAGTCATGATAAACTGTTCATGGACTACAACATAGGCATATTTTTTTATCATAGTTCGACATCAAAAATTTTGCATCTATACCCTCCTACGGCACACCTGAAAAAAAAACTTTTTTTTTCTTTTAGCAAATACATGCCACAATATAGAATCAATAGTGCTGATCACAAATATGAGTGTGGATTTTTGTTTAAAATCTTTTAATAAGTCAGAACGCGAAATTTTTATGATTTCAGTCCTAGGCCAAAATTCAACGTTTCCGATGGTTTTGGGTTTGTTTTTTCTTAATTTCGCGTTCTAAATCTTTGAAAACATATTTCAAATAGGTAATTAACTATTCTTTATCTAATAGTGTAAAAATTATAGAATCTAAAAGCACAAAACATTTTTTAAAGTCGGCTTATGAGCAGAAATTCGCAGTAAAAGATATCGATGTCTCTTTCTGAAGCCATATCACTTCGTCAGAATACTGTGTCGCCCTATAAAAATGATACAGGTAAGTACAATTTTTTTCGTTCTATCTAAATATATCTCTCGAAGAGGTAAAACACTTGTCGTTTTATGGGAAAATGTCCATTATGTACGGGGAAGTCATATTTTTTCGGCAATATTTTCATATTTCTCGCATGCTGTGAGTCAAAAAATGTATTCAATCATCACAGTTAGTGTTCCATTAGATAGAGCATACTTTGTTATCTATATCAAAGTATTTTTTCCATGATTTAGAGTACTCTATTGGAGTAGAATGGACTTGAAAAGTTAAACAAGAATAGCCTATTTTTTCCTTACAGATGAAAGTCTTTCAAAGTCGTCCCTCGCTTTCTAAAGTAGTTTTTACAAGAAATAAGGAGCTTTTCACGATTAGTGTCAAAGGCTTCAGCTTATGGCACCTGTTTGACTAATCATTATTCAAAACAGTTTTCCAGATTCCCGAGGACTCGAGGGGGGAGGGGGGTACAGGTATGAAAAATCTTAACAACTAAAAAATGTCACTAAGAGTGCTAGAGTTGTAGCCCATGATGCGCTTATTCTCATGATGTGATTATTTTTTGAAAAACACAACTTGGATGATAGAAATTATCTAAGTGCCGGATCTGTTTTTTGTCATTATTAACCGTCATAGGAAAAACATTTATTATTATTTCTCATCCATCTATATACGGTCTGTAGTGCTTTAGAACCATTTGATACAGGTAACAAAGTATGCTCTATTTAATGGAACACTAACTGTGATGATTGTATGCATCTTTTGACTCGCAGCGTGCGAGAAATATGAAAATATTGCCGAAAAAATATGACTTTCCCATGCATAATGACCATTTTCCCATAAAACAACAAGTTTTTTTCTCTTTAAGAGATATATTTAGATAGAACGAAAAAAACTGTACTTACCCGTATCATTTTTATAGGGCGACACAGTATTCTGACGAAGTGGTATAGCTTCAGAAAGAGACATCGATATCTTTTACTGCGAATTTCAGCTCATAATCTAACTTTAAAAAATGTTTTGTGCTTTTAGATTCTATAATGTTTACACTATTAGATAAAGAATAGTTGATTACATATTTAAAATATGTTTTCAAAGATTTAGAACGCGAAATTAAGAAAAAAACGAACCCAAAACCATCGAAAACGTTGAATTTTGGCCTAGGACTGAAATCATAAAAAATTTCGCGTTCTGGCTTATTAAAAGATTTCAAACAAAAATCCACACTCATATTCGTGATCAGCACTATTGACTCTATATTGTGGCATGTATTTGCTAAAAGGAAAAAAAAGTTTTTTTTCAGGTGTGCCATAGGAGGGTACAGGTGCAAAAATTTTTGATGTCGAACTATGGTAAAAAAATATGCCTATTTTGTAGTCCACGTAGTTTTTTTCCAAACATTTTTTGGCAAGAAAAATGCTCTTATCGTCCCATATCCTTTCTTTGGCGGCGCGGGCAATGCACATCTCTAAACTGCATCCTTATTGCATTTATAACGAATTAAGTAAAAGATTGGTAAAGAAATGTGTTTCAAAATAAAGACGATTAAATAATCTCTCTGTGATTAGCAAGAGCAACTACATCGTGTTTTACATTTTAATCCTACAGAGATTACACTAATACTTTTTTGTTTTTTTATTGATATAGTTATATTCGTGATAATCAAGTCTATGGTGATTGTACACCTGAAACTTATATTCATGCATTAAGAACTGGTTGTCGAGCTGTTGAAAGTAAGCATTTGTTTTGAAAAAAATTTCTCAGTACTTTTTCTTGAATGATAGTGGATTGTTATGATGGTGAGAATGGAGAACCAATTGTTTACCATGGTAATACATTCACTAAACCAATTACATTTCGAGAAATAATTCTTGCTATTAAAACTGAAGCATTTAGTATTTCACCGTAGGATTATTTCGAGAATTTTCTTTTATTATTATTATTATTGATAGATATCCAATTTTTTTTAATATTGAAAATCATTGTTCATATGAACAGCAAGGTATTATGGCTCGTCTTTTGAAAAATACTTTTAAGGGTAAATTTGAATTTTTTTGTGTCTATTCGTATATGTATTTTTTTTATTTGTTTGTTTATATTTTATTATAGATCATCTTTTATCTAAACCATTAGTTGATGATTTTGAAACATTACCATCACCAGAAGAACTTAAATATAAAGTGATTATTAGGGTAATCATTTTTTTTTTCTAATTATTGTTTACATATATTTACATATATATATATATCATAGAGTCGTCGATATCCGAAAGGAAAAATCCCAGCTGATCCAAAAACTGATCGTAGTAATGATGAAACTGAACCAAATCCAAAAGTATTTTCTTTGCTTTTTTTTTTGTTGTTGTATCAATATTTATCAAATTAATTTTTAGAATTATCATCCTGAATTTTCAAATTTAATTATCTATTCTCAAATTGTTTCATTTATGAATATAACTCATACATTATGTACACGTATGTTGAATATATTTTCATTTTTTTTTTTTTTGGATTAATATTTTTCTTTTTATATGATAGAAAAATGTTTTCATTCAATATCATTCAAGGAATCAAAAATGGATGATTTAATTAATCAAGTTTCACCTGAACATCTTGATCTAATTAGATTAACAAAACAACATATCGTACGTGTTTATCCTGGTGCAAAACGACAAGATTCAAGTAATATAGATCCAACTGACTATTGGTCTTATGGTATACAAAAAAATTTATTTTATATATATATATATAGATATGTTCTCTATTGTTAATTTAGGTGTACAAATGGTTGCACTTAATTATCAAGCAAATGATAAAGCAATGTGTTTACAAGATGCATTCTTTAGTGATAATGGTGGATGTGGTTATCTTCTTAAACCATCATTTTTATTATCGGATAATGAATTATTTGATCCAAAAGAAAAATATTATAAAAAAGCCAAACATTTACAAATACATATTATTAGTGGACAACATTTACCTAAAGAAAAAAATTGTATTGAAGATAGAGATATTGTTGATCCTTATGTTGAAGTTATAACTTATGGTATTCAACATGATTCTAGTGAACATCATACACCATCAGTTCGTAATAATGGTCTTAATCCAATATGGGATTATAAAATTAATATAGATATTTTTTGTCCAGAATTATGTCTTATTCTATTTCAAGTACGTGATAAAGATCGATATGGTTCTTCAACATTTCTTGGACGAGCTTGTATACCATTTACAGGACTTCAATTGGGTTATAGACATATTAAATTAAAAGCTAAAGATGGTGATTATATTAATGGAACAATATTTGTTCATATTAAAATTGAAGACCTTTAACTTTAATTTTATTTTGTGTTCGATATTGTCAGATGTACATATATATGTTTTCTTTTTCATACAGTATTTGTTCAGTATAATTTGTATTTTAATAAAAATAAAGTTAATATGGTGTCTGGTAATTATTCAAAAGAAGAGATTCATGATTGTTCTTTAGATTGCAATCAAAAATATAGTAACAAATGTGTTCAATGAATAAAAAAAAAAATAGTTGTTTTTTTTCTTCCAGAATGGTATTATTTAGATATTCATTAGAACTTTGTTCTCGATATCGTTTATTATCTCAACAAACTCGATTTCTACATCGATCAACATATCTTTTAGCACGTGGTATTCGTCATTCTGTTGAACATCCACCAATATCAACATCATCATTTACAAATTTAGATCAAAATATATCAATAGATAATGATGATAATAATAATAATAATAATCAAATGTCTATACAAGAACAATTTGCTCGTCTCGAATTACAACGACTTGAACAAGAATCAAAACAGATTAAAGATGAATCTAGTTCATTTGTAGATGAAGATAATTTAAATCAAGAAGAATTTGAAAATGAAGAAAAATTATCACGACCATTCATTGATCCAAGTACAACAAGTATTATTCTTTTTCCTGGTCAAGGTACACAATTTATTGGTATGGGGTAAGTTTAATTATTAATTGTTTATATTAAAATAATGAAAAGAATTATTTAGACAACAAGTTATTAATTATCCAAATGTTAAAGAAATGTTTAATATTGCTCATCGAATACTTGGTTATGATCTTTATTCTAAATGTATCAATGGACCAATTGAAGAACTCAATCAAACTCTCTATGC